AACCTCCCATCGCCAATGAAAAAAATCATTAAAGTCATTCCATTCAACAAATGATAACAAAATTATTTCACCCTGTCAATGAGAAATTCACTAACTGTATATTGACCAGAACAACATCCACTCCTTTCAGAGCACCATGATCCAGTAACTATTACATTGATTTCATATTTATAACATTATCATCATATTATGTTATAATCTGTGTCATATGACTGACCCAAGACTCACTGTTTCTGGTAAAGAACGCAGTGGAATGCACCAAAAATGTATTTATCATATTCCTATCATAGCTTTCACCCAGCATTTAAAGCATTAAGTATATATGTAAAGCATGCTGACAAAAACAAGTTACTTCTCGGATTCCAGCCCTATGGAAATCGATACGTCACGCTTACAGGTGAAGTTTCTACAATTTATAAGTATGAAATAATAAAAGACATGTTATACTTAAAAGAAAAATATGGCATCAATAGGCCAATATCTACATTTGTGGATTGCGAGAAGTAACTCATTTTGTCAGCATGCTTCACATATACATATACATGGTAATAAGCTCAATTTCATCTCTACTTTCACCCACCGCTGATAAACGCACAACCCCCCCGGGGCGGTGCTACTGACTGAAGTGTCATTAGGCGGGGCGGGGGGGACATTAACATCTCGAGTTCTTATGCACAGTAGAATCGTAATTGTAAAGGGGCTGATTCATCAATGTCATGCTCATAAGTTCTGTGCCTGAACTGTAACTGGGAACTGCTGCTTTTTCTTTCCTAATCCTTACTATCGTCATTTTTCCTTTACTTCTTTTGTATCTTTGTCACACTCTTGTGACCCCCTATTTCCAGGGTGCCTTGATAGTCGAAGCAGACTTTGTGCTGTTGAAGCTAGAGAGGTGAGCAGAGTAAGTCTGATTCCCTGTAAGAATTTCTCTGTTGACATCCACCCCTGGGCCCAGTGCTGTAAAACCTCTACTAAAACTAAACTAAAAACGCACAAGAGCAATTACCTTAATTTCATCATTGTTCTCAAACGGTTCGTGTACAATATTCTCCGTCTTCACCAGCAGTACGTGAGGAGACGAAGGAGCCGGCGACGCCCCTTCGGCCGCAGAAACTTCCTGGACAGCGCCGAAAATGTTCCCAATGGAGAAAGTCGACGGTGGCGGAGGGTCAGGCTGCTCGCTCGCTGCTGCTGCACCAGCCTCTTCTGGGGGTTTTTCGTCAGCCTCCTTCTTGTCATTTCTGCGCCGGCTCCGTCGCTTTGCTTTATCAGGGGCTGTGCGTTCAAATAAAACCAGAAGTAGGACGTATTACATAAAGAACACACATTTCACATTCCAACCTAACTTTAGTTTCGTATTTTCTTACAGGTCCTCACTTTCTTTCTACGTCTCAAAAGGCTAAGAATGGCGTACACAGGCTAAAACAGCACCTGGACAAGGACGGCTGGTGCCTCTATAAATAAATCACTGATGGTCAATGGCGTACATAATTTTACATGCTGGCTAAACTACAAGGCTTAGAAATGTTTTCAACAGAGCCTTTCAAGAAAACTTTACCACATGGGAATATGATGTTTAAGCCTAGAGTAGAGTGGGCTCGTCAAATCTTCTGAAAGTATGAAAATCATTCATGAAGAATTAATACTCTATCTTTGAAGGTAAATGAAGATGTGCGATAGATGCACACAGTACAAGGAAATGCACTAGAAGACGTCGAATCCTTCTGCTATCTTGGGAGTATAATTGACAGAGAGGGAGGAATAGGCACTGAAATAAAGTCCTGCATTGGAAAGGCACAGGCTGCATTTATTGCTTAGAGCAGGATTTGGAGGACCAGGGATATCTCATTACGAACAAAGCTTAGAATTATCAACTCAAATGTCAAGTCAGTCTTGTTGTATGGATGTGAGACGTGGAACGCATCCCATACGTGCATAAAGAGGATCCAGGTTTTCTTGAACAAGTGTCTGAGGAGGCTGCTGAGGATCAAATAGACAGACAGGATCACCAATGAGGAAGTATTAAGAAGAACCAGGCAGAGCCCGGTCAGAGATGAGGTGGGAAGAAGACGTTGGCGATGGATTGGACACTCTCTCAGGAAGTCAAGCAGCTGCATAACAAGAAAAGTGTTAGATTGGAACCCACAGGGTAAAAGATCAAGGGGAGGACCTCGTGGAACCTGGAGAAGAGTCACGGAAATGGATGTACAGAAAAGTAGGAAGACATGGAGTGACATCAAGCGACTCGCCCAATATAGGGAAAGGTGGAGAGTGTTTGACGTGGCCTATATCCTGACCCAGGGTGAGAAAGGCAAAGATGATGATGAAATGAAGATGTCCTGAATAATCACTAGGCCTTGTTATTGACAAACATCAAATACTGTAAGAAAGTACACCAAAAACCTACCTCATTACAGGAATCAAAAACATTAATTCTGATAATGTTCTACTCCTCTTTCAATGGACTAGATTTCTATATGTAAAAGGCACAGCTTACGTCTCAACATTTTCGTATAAAAAAGCCTTAAAAAGTTTTGAAAGAGATTTCCTACGGTCCTCTGTGTGATTTGATCCCATGACCTTTGGATAATGAGGCCACTGTCTCCAACATAAAACAACAATTACCAAAATGGAAAAGGCAAACGAGTACCTTCATTTAAAAAATAAAAATGCATATAACTGTTGATTAAATTCTACAACCCCTTGTACATACTTATGCCCTGCTATGCACCCAGTCACAAAAAAAATTGCACAACACTTTAAATTACAGTATTCTTGAAAAGTTCTCTCTTTAATTAAATAAAAAACACGTACCTGTACTTGAGAGCAGAGGGGAGTCCTCTTCTACTGCTAAATCAGTTATTTTGATCCTAGGAAGAAAAAGGAGCAAGAAATGTATTTAAATTCTTCTTTTAATGCCAGGTCAAGAAAGAAGAAAAATGTCTGCTTTAGTTAAAGCATGTCAATAGCATAGACTGATTTCACATTACATTATCACAGCTAAGAATCATTGTACACAAAAACTATACTAAAAAAGTGTTTATATAAAACTTTCATGAGAGAAATGTAATACCTTGGTACCTATATATATCAAAGTGCGAGTGTGTAAGAACAAAAAACATAACAACCCACAATTCAGAGACATTAAGGAATTCAAGTCTAGCTTGTTCAAGCCATGCAAGTGTATCAGAGGCTACATTTATAAAAAGAAATTCTCCAACTAATAGGACCCTTCACTATCTCACAAGGGGCTAGCTCAATTCTGTTGTTGTTTTACTCTTGTTTCTGCCCTTTGAAATAAAATTTTAAAAAAAGCAGGAAGTCTTTACCACACTTTTCAAGTCTCTAACTTGGGTATAGTATAAAGCTCACAAAAAAAAAAAATTCATACAATAAAAAAGATACAACAGGATGCATTTCATTACAAGCCTTTACCTTCTATGTGCCATGACAATCATGCGCAATCTGTCCCCGAGATCATGCATTTCTGTGATGTGAACAAATGTCCCAACTTCATAAACATCATCCAGTCGATCTACAACATCAGACTCATTACTGTGGAAAAGAAGAGAAAAAAAATACAATGAAAACATCTTGACATAATACATGCACTGCAAAGTAGTCTCAAGCAAACAAAGACAAAAGATGCTTCATGTACTGAAAATGAACAAAATAAGCGAAAGCAGATCATGATAGCTAGCTACCCAGGAGTCAATCAAATAAAAAAATAGGTTATACCAAAATGTGTGAGGAGCGGTGAAAACTATATATGAAAGTTGCTGCACTTGCTTTAATACTGGGCCGTCTAAAGTCAAAGGTCAATTAGAGTTATCCTATTGACTGTGGAAATTAGTTTTTTTGCTCCACTTTGTTATTCAACATCTTTACTTTCATCCCCATAAATATCAAACTACACTTTGAGCTGGAAATATGTTAAAGTTAATTTTACTTGTCTTCAGCATCGCCCTCAGGCAATATAATAATAATCAAACATGGCTGACAGTAGTGAACAGGAATGTGAAAATTGTTCACTTTTTGACCGACATCTCTTAAAATGATTTTGAGATTGTTATTGGAAAGCTTAGACTGTGTTCAAGCGAAAAAAAAGTAGTAGGCAAATGTTTAAAAAACTTGCTGACTAAAGCAGGTCACCAGTAAATGGTATTAAGTTTTGTAAGTTCCAAAGAACACATCTCCGCTCTTTCCAACAAGGATTTTGTTTGGTACTTGCCTTTCTTCTTTCTTGAGAAAGACTCCTGCATATGGCATATTCAGTTTGACTTTTCGTCTGATAACTTCCATCAGAGCTGGATGGGTAACCTGAAAACATAATAATACAAATATAATAATAATAATAATAATAATAATAAAAACATAAAATTTATATAGCACATTTCCAAAAAAAAGTAGCTCAATGCGCTTTACATTGGAATACCCATTTTCAAAACCTTTCTTACTACTTCCTTTCTTCTCACGCAATATTTATGCACACACACACACACACACACACAGACTATTTTCGTTCAGACATAGGCACAGAACAACTATAATAAAAATAATGCTAAAAAAGCTAATGAGGGATATGCCAAATATCACATAAATTTTCATAAATATATAAACCAGAAGTTTAATTTTTACATGTTTATTCAGAAACATACTGGAAAGTTTCAGGTTGTATTCCTCTATATTAACAGACAAGAAGTTTCTTAAGATCAACTTCGATATTTATTTGTTATAGGTATTGACTTGCATGAATCACTGATATTCCTACCTCCAAAGGCCACAACACATCTGATCATAGTCATGGTTGTGCCTAGCTGTACTATAAGATTTAAATGTCTTTCTAAACTTTGACAATTTCATTTAGTTTCAACGAGAAAGCTCTGAAAATGCAATATCATATTTCAGAGCTCACTACGTCATCTGATACCCTCCGGGAAGCGCGCGCAGGCCCTATATAATATATATATATATAATATAATATAGGGCTGACCTACTTCGACCGGGAAGCGCCTAGGCCCTATATATATATATATATATATATATATATATATATATAAAGGTCATAGACGCTGACTTTTTTCAATGGAAAATTTCAGTATTCCTTATATGGAAAATGGCGTAGTAAATTACAAGTCAAAATTATAAATAGTGACCAATGACTTGGCAAGTTATCTTCACCTCGTAGAGCGTCTCTTGGCCAAGATATCGATCGATTAAGTGACGCGGACCAGCTGAGCAATTATCAAGGCCGTGAGCCATTTGCAGTCACTTGGCGCAATAATGCGCTGGTGAAAATAATTTGTTCCGGTCACCTGACGCAGTTCTGCACAACGCCCAAGAAGTCCGTAGCAGTAGCTCTCCTGGCTGAGTGACCAGACAGGGTTTTTGTACTGCTGGCTGCGTAACTGCAAAGTGTTAATTAGATCTAAACATCTTTACTTTAGAGTGCTGTACGTAGGGAGGGCTGTAGGCATAGCCACTAGTGGTGGGCAGAATCCGGATAATTTATCCGAATAACCGGTTAATTCTCAATGAATCGTTATTCGGATTCAGACTCCTGACTCCCTTTCCTAACCCGTTTTTGAAAATGGCTCTAACCCATTTGCTGAAGCGGTTCATAACCAAGAAGAGGATCAGACTCTCTTTCTAAACCCGTTTGCACAAACGGGTCGGACTCTCTTTCATAACTCGTTTGGGAGAGGTTGTCTCCCTTGTTTTAGACTTGTTGACTTTGCCTTGGTGTCAGATATATGTTTTTGTTAGTTGACCTCTTTCTCTGGGTTTAAAGGGAGCACAATGTAGTTATTCCCCCTGATCTGACATGACAAACTGTGGCTTACGGGTTTCTAGGCTAGGCTAAAGGTCATAATATACACTGGGCCTAGCAGATGATAAGCGTAGCGATGAAGTTAATCTAGACGCGTTGAGTTGGGAGACATGACAACACTAGGATTGGCGGCATGTGTGATGTCGGCTAGTGCGACTCGCGCCTTTAACTTTATACTTTGAGGGCTGAGAAATCTTGTAGCATGTTGGGTGTCTTAGATACACTTGTATCTCATTGTGTCTTGTACTTTGACTTTTGTAGCGTAGGCTACACTTACATTTTCATTGTTCAGTGTGCCACTTTGAACATTAGCAGACCACCAATAGATTCTAGATCTAGATCTACTCCAGTAGAAAGTGGGAGGGGTAATGATAGGGGGGTTCACCCCCCCCCCCCCCTAACTGAAGTCACAAAAATAATAGATAGAAAGCTAGGCCTATACCTAGATCTATACGGGTAAAATTGAAGATTAGCAGACCACCTGGCACTAAAAACTGCCGTGATCTAGATCTAGGCCTAGCTTTCGATCTAGATCTAGATTCTAGATCTTGATCTAAACATTTTTGGAGATCGCTTTTAATGTGTGCGAGGGCACGCATGTGTGTGTGCGTGTGTGTGTGTGTGTGTGAGAGAGAGAGAGAGAGAGAGAGAGAGAGAGAGAGAGAGAGAGAGAGAGAGAAAGAGAGAGACAGATTGGTGGGGGGGGGGCAAAAACGGGGTGCAGGCCGGCATGTACCAATGCAGTTAACAAAACAAAAAAACAAAACAAGAAACTAATCATAGAGTTGGCAAAATTACTAGATCTAGATCTAGGTCTAGATCTATCACAGCAGCTTCCCTATCTGATAGGGAGAGCTCGGTGGTAGTGGTATTGTGAATTACGTCAGTCATCAACACCTCCACGCAAAGCTTTTTGGGCAGAGGGGGGAAAAAGAGGGGCAGGGGAGGGGGTTGGGACCTTGACATGATTTGACGTCACATCCTGCCCACCAGTCGCTGTTGCCGGAAACGCGGTGGTGAATCAATTTACATACCACCACGTTTATTTTCCCAATAGATACTTTCTATTTCTAAACAGATGGGAAAAAATAGCTGGCGCAGTATCTTCTTACTGTTCACGTACACATATATAACTAATGGATCTGTAACTTTGAGAGAATTCAGACTTTTGTGATGAGTCCATAATTGTAAACTAGGATATAAATCTATATATAAAAAGCAGGGTGTTTCTTTCAGAACTTAGCGCCGACCGGATCACAAGCGATTCGCACCCACTTTGAAAAGCGATTCACACCCACTTTGAAAAGCGATTCACACCCACTTTAGAATGTGGTGCGCAGGAAAATAGGGTTAAATTCGGATTTTCCTAATGGGGTGCACCAACATCCGGATTTTTCAAAAGCGACTCATTGCCCACCCCTAATAGCCGGGCCACAGGCTATATTTATATCAACGAATTGAAATGAATAATACATGCTTCATCATCAACAAAATAATATAATTACCTCGATCATCTTGACAAATCTTGGAAAGACAGGATTTCTGCTGATGGCAATTACGGGGACGACGGGCAAAAACTCTGGAACAGACGTTGTCGTCAAAGCACCTATAGGATTAAAATTGCTGACAATTTCCTCCGCATCTTCTGCCGTAGGAGGGTATGAAGAATCACTCTTTGCTGCATTGTCATCTCCTTCACCATCATTTTTTTGACTGCTTAGACAAAATGCAGATGTGGAAATTGATCGAATGCCTGATACTGAGATTCTACCCCCTGATTGAACATGGGTTATCTTCTGTTGGGGCAGACAGGGGGACTTGTTCACTAAACATCCACATCTCTGTAAGAGTGCATTTGCACACGCTTGGTTTCTGTAGACTGGAGATGAAAATGGCTTCAATGAATATCTGCATTTGTGGAAAAGTGAAGGGAACGATCCGGTCCCACTGTTGCCTTTTTGTCGAGTTAAAGTGTGCAATGTTTTCCTTGAACTTGAAGCCGGTAGACTTTCAAGCTGATGCAACGCTCGCCCGACACTCAGCATTGACATAGGCCTGCTGGAAACTGACGTTTGAGAAAATATATGATGACTGCCACATCTCAGTTTTGGGTAGAATGAGTAAGAAGAAGTAAAATATTGGAAACATCGATGAAAATTAGAGCTCATGATGCAGTGTTTTGATTTTGTATAACTGGGGACAGATTTTCGCAACAGAGCGGCCATTTTGCTAATCGAAAATAAGTATCCCTATCTATTCTCGAAACGAAATTCAAATCTGACACAGCAATTTCAAATGAGTTTATTATGATTTGAATACTGCCCAAAAATTATTTTTTACTATTTTTATAATAAAATACACGATTGAGGATACACAATCGAAAACAACCACATTCAAAGTGGGTAAATTGTATTCAGTATTGAACCGCAAAGATGCTTGTCTGTCTTTCTTTTATATTTTTATCACGTGACTTTAGAGACAAAATGGCAGACAAGATGGTTGTCAAAACTTGCCTGAATTCAACTTGGAGTAGTTACAGCGTGTTTGTAGGATTTGTCGTCTCTACCCAGGCGGTCAGCTTTTGACAAATGAAATGAAGAGAAGAGTTGAACCAAGCAATGGCTCAAAATCTGATACAGATCGAGCTAAGCGTGTTTACAGGTAACAGCTTTCATAAAGTTCGAGTGGAATCTGAACGGGAACGTCACTCCTCTGGAAGCCGTCAATTTTCAGTTTCACTTTCTAAAACTTTCTAACTTTAATTTGTTTATAATATGGCCTATTATGATTTGAAAGATTTTTGATTTGTCAAAATTAATTACATTTTCTCTACCATATCAGACTTTGTTGTTTACCTCAGAATAGCCTAATGCATAGAGGGCATTTGAACTAGATTCTAGATCTAGAATCTAGATCTCATACCTGTTAACTAAAGTTTAAGGAAGTATCATCATCAAGTAGTGTTGCTTGTGAGGTCGCTAAGAAGATGGAAGCATGCCAGTTTGTCACAGGCCTCGACTGTACCCTGCATGATGGAAGTTATCACTGACACGCCCAAAAAGAGTTAATTAATGATTGATTGATTATACGAATTGAATTTTATTTTTCAATTGTTTTTAACGAAAGAACAGTCATTGTTAAAATTTTACAAAGTAATTTAAATTTGCTTTGATTTGCATACAAAAAGGAAGATATATTGAAACAACACAAGCTGAATTGACTTTTTAGTCTAGAGGACTATCTAAACATCTAGGAAGTGAGAATAGAAAAACGATCTACCTCTCACCCCGGGTGAGACTTGCCAGCGTAGGCTATTCTCACCCGGTGCGAAACAAGACCTG